TTTTATCTTGGTGAGAAGTTTTCTGCCATGGTGCCTCTGATCAGTCTTTTTTTGTTATTTGTGCTATCTCCTGCTATTTTCATCATCTCTAACCATTCTTATGTTATACTTCTTCACATGATATAGCACCTTCTGGATGGACATCTTATCATTCCTTTCTATTTTTAGGAAATCTTTCTTTTCATAATTATTAACCAAAAACATGTGTTTGGTATTTGACATTCTGTTCTCACATTGGTTTATTTTGCTGTTTATACATTCAGTGAAAGTTTCAATATTTTGGATATCTCCCTGAGTCTCTTGTATGAATTCCATTATGTATCTATGTTGGTCTTCATGGTTTCTCTCATTTTCCTAAGTTCCTCTATTTATTAATCTGTATCTGGTGTACAGTACCTAGGGGTGTTTTCCATTATGGCCACTATCTGTTTGTTTTCTATCAAATCATTTCTGATTTAGTTTGATCTAGATCCTTGTTAATTTATTTTGATGTGATCATTTCAGACAGTCACGGTAGCTGGCTTTTGAGTGGTCCCACCTCCATTCCCCCTTGTCTTGCCTTTGTTTCACTGATTGTCTGGAGTTGCACTTGTGGAATTGCCTTCTCATTTTCTAATTTTCTTTTTCTTAGTTTAATTCTTGAGTTGATGCTTCTGAATTGCCTATGGTGGATATCCTGATTGCTGTTATTTAGAACCTTTAGGAAATGACTACTGAAAGTGTCTTCCAGGTGTAGACCGCTTTTGTGTTTTCAGTTGTGTTGTAAGATCCTACCTCTTCAATTTATGAGTTGAGTAGTTGTTGCCTTGTTGGCCCATCCTCTGGTCACTTTACACTGGCCCACAGTGTTTTCAGTGACCATTAGGCAATGTCAGTCTGGGAAGGAAAGGAAAAGAAGAAATTAAAGAAAGAACAGAACAGAAACACAATCACCAGAAAACCGGAAACCATGTTTACATTCATATAAAGAAAAGGTCAAGCATAAAAAGCAAAACAAATAATGAGAGAGAGAGAGAAGGAAACTCTCCTCCCCAAGTTGCATCTCTGCTATCACTGGTAGAGAAAATGTGTAGACAGAATCTAGGTCCATGCTGATTTATCCCAACAAGTCAGAATTTGCTTTATGGTGAGGTAGTGCATAATCTCAGTGAGCCTCAACTTTATTGCCATTGACGTTCAGGGCACTTTCCATTCATGAGGGTGACACCAGATTTTTTCAGCCTGCAGCAGTCAGTGTCACTTCTGTGGTCTTGAACTTAACTGAAAGCCAGGAGAGGAGACAGTGGTTTTTCTGAGTTTGAAGCTCAGTTGGCCTCTCTTGAAAATGACCAGTCTCTCACAAATGACCAAATCCATACCACTCACCAGGATGTGCAGTCTATAGCATCTGTGTCTCTGCAAAGGTCTCTGGGTTGCCAGCTTTCACTCTGTGATTTCAGGCTAGAGTGCTTCCTCCCCCAGGATGAGTACTGCAACAGTGACAACGTGCCGCCCATCACCTTCCAGGCTCCTCTTTATGAGCTCTGTTCAATGATCTCTGCCCTTTGTGCTCTTGATCCAGATTAGTGTGTCAGTCATGCAGCATTTGTTTTAATGCAAAATTTAATCAGGGGTGTCAATGTTCCTTAGCAAAGCTGCCTAGAATCTTGATAGAAGAATAAAAAATGCCAAAATTAGTATAACAACAACTTCAGTATGAAAGAATCAGATTTCATACAAAAGAGCAATGTTTTAGATAAAGTAAACTGTTGATGTTTTTAACTTCAGCATCTAGGTTTGTTTAGTAACTCTAGTTATGAGCAAATGATTGATCATTAGCTATTGTACACTGTGGCTTTGTAGTATCTGAGGACTCATCTGATTGTAGGTGTGTGTGCATATGTGCACATGTGTGTTTTGTCAGTAGTTGTACGTAGTCGTCAGAATATTCTGACAGCAGAATTTCAGGCCTATAATGTCAGAGCACAGGCAGCAGAGATCTGGTGTGGTTGCCCTAATTTTCTGAGGATCAGGTAGGTCAGAGGTGCCATTCAGATAATGGGAAAGCACTGGGAATGAGCTCGATGAAGAAAGCAAATGGTTTGGCATGTTCCTCAGAGGCTGTTTCCAACAGGTTAAATAGGAATAATGGTACTCACGACTCATCAAATAGTCCAGAGGTTCAGTGCTGTGAGACATTCAGTCTCTTCTGTGGTCATTAAACTGGATAACAGGATAGTGAATAAAATATTTCAGTATGTTTGCAAGATGAAATCTGAGAAAATATCTCCCTAAGAATTTTCTGTGCATGAGAATGAGGAGTAAAGGGCAGCATGTGCCCATTTCTTTGTAAAGTAAAAAGCTTCCACTTTCCTGGGAAAGATCTGTGGATGTTTATATTGGTACCCTATAGTATTTGAACAAGTGTTTGTTTTGTTTATTTGGGGGGGGTACCTGCATTAAATTCACGACCTTGGACCTGCCTCATACAAGAGGTGCATTGAGTGGTGTCCCCGGCCCTTGTGCATTTTCCTGCGTAGATTTTTTTTTAACCTTGCATAACACGTAGCCATTGCGCTATAAAAGTTATCTTAAAAGTCTTCCAATTGCCTGAGGAAAAACTCAGATTATGGGCGAGAAAAAGTGTTAATGGGGGATCTATTGTATTTATACTGGCTCTCATTAATATTTGTACAACTACAATGTGACCCTGCACATTATATTCTATGGAAATACCAGCATAGGCAAAGCATCTGATGCTTCACAGCTTCAGTGCTCTGAGATACTGCCAAGAGATCTGCACTTGTTAAAGCAGATTGCAGAGGAGCAGAAACAGCCCCCACGCAAGCTCTTTACCTTGAGTTTCTGTCCCTTGCCCTGATCCTGCTACAGTTCCTGTTACTTCTGTTTCTTAAAAAGGGCAGGTCACTGTGATGCATATTGTAAGAACCAATCACAGACAGCAAAGTGCTCTCTGTACTTCCTCAGGGTAACCCGATAGAGACCTCTTTCCCTGCGGCTTCGTGGCTGACTTGATAGAAGTATTGGTTTCTTGTTTTTGCCTGTAAGTGTTAGTAAATCTGCCTCTGAATCTTGTGTGTCCTTTTGGCTTTTCTACTTACCAGAGCAACAGTATGGGAGAAAAACAATTGGACGCAACTTGGAAGGGGAATGTTTTTTACTTGGAACTTGTGCTTCACAGGACTGACCAACAGGTGTCAGCAAGGGGCTGTCTGTTTTAAAAGTAATGTTTGAAGTCTTGCCCTGCCTGGAAAGAGCTGTGCTCTTCTAAGAAACACAGTGGTTAGAAGGTTTTTAACAACCCGCCCTAACGGTCATTTTAATGCTCATTCAACACTTCAATTTTACATTTTTGAAAGGAAAAGAGATTCTTAAAGCATTGTCTTGGCTCTAGGATCTCAATTTCTCACCCTTCCTATGTGTCCCCCTCTCTCAGTCTCACTCTGTCTCTCTGCTTCTGTCTTTGTCTCTGTCTGTTTTCTCCTCTCTCTCTCTCTCCTTCCTACAGGTTACTCCTACTCCATAGCCTCCATTGTAGGTTTCTCCTTGTGTCCTGACTTCTGAGAATTGGGCTGCCTTTTAGGTCCCAGTCTGTCCTCATCTACTTACCATCATTTCCTGGTGACCTCACCTCTATCCCTATATTTGCATCTTCTAGTTCAGATCACTTCCCAGAGATCTAGCATCTCACATATACAAGGGTTGAGTGGAGGCCTGGGGCCATCTCACCACTGGAAATATGCTCCCCTGCAAGTCCTTAGTTCCCCTTGTTACCCAGTGTTGCTTTTTCTGCCTTCCCATTGAAGGAGGCTTCTTGTAAATTCTGTGATGGATCCTTTCCAAATATAAGGCAGTCTATGATTTGCTTGTTCTGCCTCGGTTCATGTCCAGGATGTCAGAAAACTTACTTGTTCTGCCTTTAAACCATGACCAGAGCCTTCCCACCTTTTGAAACAGCTGGTGCAAGGTCTGGAAAAGTAAGCACATGCTGCCTTAGATAATGGGATTAGATAACTTTTTAATGTTCACTTTCAATGATGTCTGAAAGGCCAAAAATAGCAAAGAGATATCAATTGTTCCTATTATCAGACTCTTCATTTCTATTATCTTACATTTAACTTTGACCTGGGGTTTTAGTGCAGAGGCACAAATGTGTGCCTGGCAAACATGAGGTCATGAGTTCAATTCCCAGTACCAAAACAAAACAAAACAACAACAAAAAACCACAAACAAGAACACCACAAAAAAAAAACATTTAACTTTGAGGATAGTAGTGGTCCTGGAGGATTATCACAAATGGAAGAAATGGAGCCTATTGAGATTTATCAAGCATGTCTCATGAGGATGAGGGGAGGTGAGAGGCACCTGCCTTAATTCTGAAAATGTCAGGTCTGCATGTCTTTTTTTCCAATAAAAATCTTTTTACAAATGATCCTTGTGGAAACTAAAGCTGCATATGTGCTTGGGATGGGGAACAGAGCCAAAGATTGCCCATAAAAAGCAAGGAAAATTGCTACTAATTGCTGTGAGAAATTTTCTGAGCATTTGTTTGTCTCCTTGATAGGTAGCTGTAATCCTGGATATCACCAAATAAGGATAGACCCAACTTCTCTGAGGTCATCCTCAGGTACCTCGAGGCAGAATCACAATTTGAATGCTCACCTTTGCTGTGCTACATTGACTAGACAGACATGACATGACTGAGGTTTCTTTAGGCCAGGACTTTTACTCACCATGGAGTCAGTAAGACCAAGAGCCCTGCATGAGGCACCACTTCCGATGATCTATGGAGTCACACAAAGCCCAACATTGCAATACCAGAAGTGATCCCTTTAATGCTGCCCTCTGGAAATGGGCGCAGCATCATAGGAGTACCAGCTTGGCTGAAAGGAGAGTCCATGATGACTGTTTCCCACTGGATAATCACAATGTGAGAAAATTGCAAGAGAAATTTCCAACTGTGGAGGCCATTTCTAGCTTGTTGGTCATTTTAGCAAAATTCATGGTTCATTTGGTTTGTATTTTTTTCAGTTTCATAAAACAACAGAAGTTTTAAGGCACTAAAGAAGCTCTGGAGTTCAGCTCCATTCTCTCTCTGAGTCAGCTTCCTCACCAGAACACAGATCCTGGCTGTTGTGTTGTCTTCCTCATTCTCTAGGCAGGGCAGAGACCTCAGTTACAACTTGTTTTTCTGATTCTTCAGCCTCTTCCTCTCACAGAGAGCAGGCTGCACTCTGCTGCTCCCCAGACAGCAGTGCAGGAGGGCAGCTGGGCTCCCCAGGCAGGGAGGTTTGTGTTCAGGGCTGTAGCACTGTGCGAGGTTCATGTGTACTTTGCACACAGTAATAAACTCCAGCGTCCTCAGCCTCCACCTTGCTAATTTTGAGGACAAAATCTGTCCCTGACCCACTGCCACTGAATCTGTCTGAGATACCAGAATACCGGTATGAAACCAGGTAAATCACACCATGTGGAGCCTGGCCTGGCTTGTGCACAACCCAATGCAAATAGGTATTTCCATTACTAGAGAGGAGGCTCTGGCTGGACCTGCAGGAGATAGAGGCCGGCTCTCCAGGGGTGATGGACAGAGAGAGTGGGGTCTGGGTCATCACAACATCTCCAGTGGATCCTAAAATGATGAAGAAAAAGGACAAATCACATACAAACACCATGAGTCATTTACCTAGCTTTTGTTTTCTTGTAAGTATTGAGCTACATTATATTTGTAATTAATTTAAAAAGAAAATTTTTAAATTTTGAGATAATTGACAGGATATCTAGTCACATGATTCCCTCTAGAACTCATCTGAGCAGCCCTATCTTTCTTTATGGCAGTCTTCATGAGAGGACACCTCCTGAGTCCTTTGGGGATTTTCTTCACTTGCTGATCTAAACTCACACATCCATGCTTCAAGTCATGGATGCACATCTCAGTTATGTACAGAATTCAGCCAGGCAGCAGAGCATCCCTGAAACTCTCCCTCACTTCATGTTCCTCCTTATCCCCCTGTGTCCTTACCAGTGATACAGAAGAGTAGCAGCCCCAGGGGCTGAAGAGGGAGCCTCATTTTGAGAAACTGAACTGAAGAGTCCTGATCAGGCAAGGCCAAGTTAGTGTCAGATTTTATCTGAGACTTGCTTGGGAAGGTCCACCCTGGAGACAAAATGCAAATTCCCTGGTGGGTGCAGTGGTGCAGAAGGAGTGAAGTGCATGATGGGAGGTTTCCCTCGTGTGCCTAGTGGTATAAAATATCCTCTTTGTTGGGTGTTTCGCACAGTGTCGTAAGTGTCTGCCTTGTGAGCATGCAGATGTGAGTTTCATTCCAGGTCCCAAACAAAAATAAACAATCCAAAATCTGTTCTAAAATGTCCTCTGAATGGGGAAGAAAACAATAGAGCTACAATTTATGCTGTGTGCAGCAGTGAGTGCAAGGATCCCTTGGAAAACGTGTGTCTGCAACACAGACACACTGCTCAGGGCTCTGCCCATCCAGACAGGACTGCAGTCCCAGGATGCAGGGGATGTGCAAATCAGTCTCTGGGATGGGAAGTGTCATGGCTCTTAGCCTCCTGGAGGAGAAAGATGCAATTCTCTCTTCATGAGAACTCGTCTTTAGCATTTTCTACCTGAGCAGCAGGTAGCAGAGATGAGGAGCCATTTTGCTGTAACCAGTTAACTTTCATAATCTTACAAACAAGTATTAGAAATAGTCTTGAAGCTTACCTAACAATTAGATGACACCAGAGCAGTAAAATCAAAAGCTATGATACACATACATGTAGCTGTCTTCAACTTGGAAATCAGTAACTCTTTTGAAGGCAAGAGGAAAGGACAAAAAAATAGAACTTACATAGTGGATGTAAAATTCCTGTGAATAGATTTTGAAATCAGTAAATATCTGGTCAAGACTGCTCTCTTGTAGATATGTATACACACACACACACGCACGCACACGCACACACACCAGATTTATCAAAATCTTTGTTAGGGTACTGTTTCTCTTGCTTTTATCCAAAATGAATGAGGAATAATTTATGCTACTCTCTTGTTAAATATTCCTAAAGCATCCTTCTCATATCTACATTTTTTAAATAGATATTGGGTAGCCATGGTCTATGGTTTAAAGAGCCATTCTCAATAACAATGTCACGATTGAATCCAGTGTTTTAATGTCTCAGGGCAATTTGAACCAAAAGCTGACATGGTCCTGGATGTTTTCTGAGTTGGTCACTGTGGAAAGGGGGTGAGTTTGAGACTTCTTCCAAAGCTGTGAGAGAGTAAAGCCATGCTGTCATTAGTCTGTAAGTTCGTTTTTGTGTATGGCAGCCCAAGAGCTGCAGTGTGCCTCTCACACATTTGGGAAAGTGTGTTTGTGGTAAAAGAAGTAAATAAGGATTCTGTAGTGTGCAATTTTATTGTAACTAAGGACTCTGGATGTTCTTATCACTATGTGCGTGTGTGTGTGTGTGTGTGTGTGTGTGTGTTGGGGCTTAAATCGAGGAAGCTCACACTGAGCTACGTCACCAGTCCTTTGTATTTCTCTGACTCTGAGACTGGGTCTCATTGTGTTGTTCAACTGCCCAGTTTCTGCCCTGTCCATCCTGGGCCTCAGCCTCAGTGTGCTGGGCTGACAGTCATTCACTATCTGTCTTGGGTGACTTTGTCTTCTGAATGTGTGGGCTTTTTCCAAATAGTCTGAGAAGTTGGAAAGTTCACTTGTTGGACTGATCTGGTATCTTAAACCCTCATTCCTCATTTGTATCACAAGAATCATTAGTAAATGAAATTAAAGAAAATAAATTTCATCTCATTGGAGCAGTCACAATACCAAGTTCTAAAGCTTAATGCATATGCGGAGGAGACCACAAGTGGTTAAGTTCAGACTTGGACACACTAAGTCAGCGTTCACATTTTTTTCCCTGGAAATAGGAAAGTTTTAAAAATTACACAGCACATGAAGTTTGGCTGTGTTCTATGGAAGTGTTCCAATGCCTCAGATGAAACTACAAAAGAGTATAAGATTTTATTTTAATATTTCATACCTAAGAAAATAACAAGCAATAGTCTGTTGACAGCAAAATAACAGATAATATTACATTGATTAAATAAAAGTAAAACACCAATTGATTGTGAATAATACGTGTGGCTGGATTATAAGGATGATTTGAATGATTTACAATGTGTATAAAATGTATTGAGCTGATTAATTTTTTTCCTGTAGTTTCCTTCTCTTTTTATGTAATATCAGGTTTATAATTTATTTCCTTGCTATCCTCTCAGAAGTCCCAAATCAGAAGTACGGAAAAAGCCTTTTGCTGTCTGATACTTTCATTGGTACTTAGTTTATCTATTCTATTTTTAATTCCCAAAGGGTCTGACTTTGTGGTCCTTAAATAGGATTCGTGAGCATTTCTGTGTAATTTCCTGGCTATGTCCCCCTCCAGACAGGTTGTCATTTGGGCACCTTTGCCCCAAGGCTATGTGCAAACAAGTTCGAGCTTTGAATTTGAGTGGTACCAGAATGATGGAGTCATTCTCAGGCCCACTGTTTTTTTTTTTTCCCCTGTGGAGGAGGTACGGTGATCACTTCAGACCCACGGTGAGATCCTCACCTCATCATCTTAGCCATCCTGTGTAAGTCACTGATTTTCCCCAATGACGTGATTTTTTATTTGAAGTTAGATATGATCCAACTCTCATGTAAAACACAGAATAATAATGATAAAAACTCTTTTCTCCCCAAAACAAAAGAAAAAAATCTCATATCAAACTAACTCTCTGCCTAAAGTATGCAGCGATCTCTTAGCCCTGATTTACTGTCACGGTCCCTATCCCCATGCTTGGCTGCCATTCTTGGATTCTGGGGCAGGACTCTGAAAACTCCTCATGTTGCGATGATCCATGCACACAGATTCAGGGAACACTGGTCTGGCTATGGATCTACATTAGACTCTCTCTCTCTCTCTCTCTCTCTCTCTCTCTCTCTCTCTCTCTCCTTTTCTTTTGTTCTTTTTTCTTACCTAGCTTCTTTTGTTTTATTGTGGTGTGTTTGAGACAGACCTCAGGACCTCTGCACTGCATTGCTAGTTAATCACTGCTGTGAATTACACCTACAGCCTGAAATTGGGATTTTCCTGAGCTGCAAGTAGATCCAGTGTGTTCTTCCCTGCCTGCTTTCTACTGTCTGACAGTATATCTATTTTGATTTCATGCATGTTCTGGTATTGATTTTTTAATGGGGTGTGGCCAGTGGGCTGATGAGAGGAGAATAATAAGCTTGTGATATCAGGTATGAGAAGAGAGTTGTTGCAGTGTACAGAATGGCTTGTGTGCTATAGATGCCTGATGATGGGGATAGGAAAGAGGATGGATTCAAATCAGGGGAAGAACACTGGGAATGAAGTTCGATGAACTAAGCAAGTGATCTTGCAAAACTTATTCTGCGGAAATAATGGTACACCCATGGTATGTGATTCTTCACTGCTTCAGTGCTGTGAGATACTGCAAAGAGATCTGCACTTTTTGAAGCAGATCACAGTGTAGCAGAAAAAGCCCACATACCCACAGCTTGAGTTTCTGTTTGTTGCCCAGATAGCAGTGCCTGCTACAGTTCCTGATACTTTTGTTTCTCAGAATAGGCAGGTCACTGTGATGCCCAGGTGGTCAGTATGACACATATTGAGGGACCAATCAAAGACAGCCAAGTGCCCTACCTCTGTACTTCCCCTTTGTAACCTCACAAAAGCCTCTCTCCCTGAGCCTTTGGATCTCACATTTTTATAAGAACTGATTTCTTGTCGCTGCCCCAAAACACAAACAAATCTATCTTTGGATCTTGTGTTGCTGCCGTGTTTGAGTTTGCTATAGCAACAGCATGGTAGAAGAAAACATTTCAAGGTAATTGAAAGGGGAATGTTAGCAACTTTCCTTGCCCTTCATAGGACTGACAAACACATGGCAGGGTGGGGTCAACTCTTATAAAAGTAATGTTTGAAATCTGGCCCCTTCCCCAAAAGAGCTGTGACCGCCTAAAAGATACAATGTTTTGGCCATTTATAATATCTTGTCCTAGAAATTATTTTGATGTTCATTCAGCAGTTTAATTTTACATTTGAGAAAGAGAATCATTTTTAAAACTTTGTCTTGGCTCTATAGGATCTCCTTTTTTTTTCCTTTTCTTGGTGCGTCTCTCTGTGTGTCTCTGTCTCTGTTTCTCTTTCCCCCTTCCTCCCTCTCCCTCTTTCTCTCTGAAAAGAAGTGGCCCTGTAGAATTTTCTCGAAAAGAAAGAAATGGAGGCTAATGATACTTAGGAAGATGGGGGGTGTTGTGAGATGAATGCCTTAATTTTGACAGAAATTAGTCTGCATGTCTTGTTTGCTTGTAAAACGTATGGAAAGAAAGATCTTTGTGGAGAATAAGCTGCATATGTCTTTGTGAGTGGTACTGAAGAATGGAAGCAAAAATGGCCCAAAAAAACCCTTGTGTACTTGCTGCTAAGTGTTATGAAGCATTTTCTGACAAGTTGTTTGCCATCATCGCATGATAGCTTTATTTCCGGGTATCACCAAATGAAGATCCTTCAGCTTCTCTCAGGTCATCCGCAGTATATAATGAGGCAGAATCACAATTTGGCTGCTCACATATGCTGTGCTACATTGATGAGAGATGTGACAGGACTGAAGTTTGTTTTGTCCAGGAGCTTTAATCTTCATGGAGGCAGTAAGACCAAGAGATCTGCATGATGCATCACTTCCAGATGATCCACTGAGTCTCAGGACAGGGGGATGGCTCTGCAGGAGTGACAGGCAGGCTGAGAGGACAATGAATACTCACGATATCCCCAAGGGAGTCTTCTCCATCCTTCTACCTCTGTGCCAGACACTCAGCAGAGCACACATCCCAGCTGCTCTGTTGTTTCCTTCACTCTTACTACTGGACAGAGGCCTCAGCTGCAACTTGTTCTTCAACCTCTCTCTCTCACACAGTGCAGTCTGTGCTGTGCTGCTCCCCAGAGAGCAGTGCAGGAGGGCAGCTGGGCATCTCTTGGCTGGGAGGTTTTTGTTTAGGGCTGTGTCACTGTGGTAGGATGTTTTGTATCTTGTAAACAATAATAAACTCCAGTGTCCTCAGCCTCCACTTTGCTGATTTTGAGTGTGAAATCTGTCCCTGAGGCACTGCCACTGAACCTGTCTGAGATGC